AACTTCAGTGTACTGTGAATAAGACCAGCACAGCTCCCAGTGTAGTCCAGAGAAAAACTCCCACTTACATTACTGAGAGCAGAAGCAGGCAGCCCTAAATTAGTAATAGTTGATGTGTCATTAGATTTATCTTCTGCAGCCTAGACCACTTCTATGTGGCATGATTCATTGCAGGTTCCAACATAAATTATGGATCCAGGAGAAACTGGTAGTAACACATTGCAAGTTGTAATGACTGGAATTTGTGTTCGGCTTCTTGTTCTTTCTTATAACTACAGACATCAAGTTAACAGTAAAAATATTGTTTAATTTCCTTTCTCCTTGCACATATTTTATCAGCATCCAGTATTCCCTCCTCCATTTCTTGGAAACTTTCCCCCATCTCTCACCTCTTTACTGTAATAACCTAAAATTCAGAAATGAGATTCTCCTTTCCTCAATCTTCCCCCGTGTCTGGTTGCTGAGTTTTGTTACCCAAGTGTTGAATTCATCCCTAGAGCTGGCCAAGTTCAGTGAAGAGTAAAGTGATTTCCATGTTGCTAGCTATATGACTCATTGTGACAATAATGAAGCGTGGGTCGGTACGGTTTTCAGAGAGCTGACCTTGCATCAAAATCTGTTCTCATTAAGCAAAATTCCCAATGAAATTCAAAGCACAATTAATGACCACACAATTTTGCCAAAAGCAGTAACCACTAAACTAAATGAGACTATGTTGATTATGCAAATAAACAACTACTCTAGAAAGCTTGCCTATTGTCTAAAACAATGCATTTCTATTATTATTTATGCTATGATACTGAACAGAACTGGAGCCATATTATGCTAGATTCCATACAAACACAAATTACAGGATCACAGTGTAATTTGATACAAGATGCAATAAGTAACAAACCACAGAAAGAGATCTCAGGTCTGAGGAAATTTTGTGCATATCCAGTTTATTAATTATCTAACAATATTTATAGTCATCAGAATTTTGTCTTTAGTAATTGAAGGACTGTTTGAAACTGAAAACAGCTAACTCATTCCTGGCAATTAAACTAAAAGCTTTGCCATGTGAAAACTCTTGGTACTGAAAACATATTTATTTTAAAGAAAAAATGAACTTTTTATTGGACTGCCAAATTAGAGCAAATAACACATTTCAGTGAATTACTCTTTCCCAGCAAATTCTTTATCAAAAATAGAAAATCTTGCACAAAACCTTCAATTATTAGTTGTAAATTACTGCAGTATGCACAACTGGAGATTATAAATACAGTGTCTCAAAAGACATACCACCAAAGGTACCATAAGGCAGGAGAACACATAAATTTCACCTTAGAAAGAAAGATTTTACTCTTACAATTTATAAATAGCTAGTGTAAAAGCCACTTCCCATTCTCAATCTTTTATCTTCCCTGGTTTGCGTATCTACCTATTTGCTTCTTTTAAAAATAATTTTCTCCTTTGTGTCTAGGAAACAAAAAAACATGAAGGGGTTTACTGCATATACAACCGAAACAGTTAATGGCCTCAGTTCAAACTGTTGTTGCATGCATAAAGTAATCAGAAAAAACAAAACAAAACAAAACAAAAACTACACTCCTGAAGATGCAGAAAGCTTAGAATTCAGTCCCAAGACAGAGTCCACACCTGTGATAGAAACAGACAACCAAGTTTCCAGTAAGGAATACAACCCTTGAGTGACACTCATCACAACAGCAGGTTACAAAAAAGGATCTTTGATCAGAAGAGTAATTATAAAAAATTATAGCTTCTCTTTAAATTCTCTGGGCCAGCAGATCTGACTCTTGCTATATATAGTGAGCTCTATGTTGAAATTTAAATTTTTAGCAACACAATGAGCTAGACTGAAATGTAATAGGCCTTGAGCTTGCCTTCTAAAGCATCTGTATACTATGCCTGGGCTGACTGTGCTACACACTGTCCAGTGATGGTGAATACCCGTCACACAGTACATTTTTGTTATGAATAGCCCTCCAGTATTTTACTCAGCAACACAGTACACATAAAGGCCAGAGAACAGATAGGAGTTTCTAGCAGGAAATATTAGCTTCACACCTTCCTTTATGCCAAATGTTTTAATCTTTTTGTCAGTGAATATGATGTATGTATTTGAAGCTTAAAGTACTTTTCATACACCTCACTTTTCTCTGGGTTTTATAGTCATATGCAGCAAGAAGTTGGGTAATTTTGTATAGGGGGGAAAAAAACCCAACAGGAAATAATTTTTTAAAGGATTCACTTTACTGAACAACTCTTGTAAATGCATGTCCAGCAAAAACATTACAGTTTATTAGTCTGTTATCTTTTGTGGATTTGTTATTTAAATCTCAAGGCTTCTTTTCCACTGGATTTTTTTTTTTTTTTT